AGTGTCTTTCTTCGTGAGGTTAGTCAGGGGTGCAGCCACAGCAGAAAAGTTCCTGACGAACTTTCTGTAGTAGGAGGCCAGACCCAAGAATGACCAGACATCTCTCACTGTCTGAGGCTGTGGCCAATCCTGAATAGCAGCAACCTTGGCTGCTTCAGGGGCCAAACCATCTCCAGAGATTACATGACCCAGGTAGATAACAGAGGGAACTCCAAAAGAGGATTTCTCCCTGTTGATCTTGTACTGGCTGTCACGTAACGACTGAAGGACTAGAGCCAGGTACTCCGCATGTTCCCTGGTAGTTTTGCTGAATACCAGGATATCATTCAGGTAGACAACCATAAACTTATCCAGGTACGGCCTGAATATGCGGTGCATCTCAGTCTGGAATGTACCAGGTGCATTGCAGAGTCCAAATGGCATCACCAGGTACTCGTAAGTACCATACCTGGTTTTGAAGGTCGTCTTGTGGACGTCCTCCTCTGCCATCTCAATCTGGTGGTAGCCAGATTTGAGGTCGACTTTGCTGAAGATGGGTAGCCCTGGACCATATCCAGAAGGTCGTCGATCCTAGGAAGTGGCTCTGTGCTCTTCCTAGTGATCTTGTTGAGACCCCTGTAGTCGATGCACATTCTGAATTCCCCACTCCCCTTTGGGACAAAGAGGACTAGAGCACCGAATTCAGAAGTGTTGGGCGTGATCCAGCCTTTGCTGGTCAGGGTCTCAAGCTGTCGCCTGAGCTCCTCGAGCTCAGCAGGTGACATCTTGTAGATGCGGCCCTTGGGAGGGACCGCTCCAGGCAGCAGCTCAATACGATGCTTGGTTGGCCGGCTGGGTAACCCAAAGGGCTCCTGCATCATATCAACATACTGGTCCACAACCTGCTGTATCTCAGGAGGACAGGGAGTAGAGGGAGCGTCTGTCTGCTTTACCAGGGCGATGAACAGATGCTCATGATCATACTGGCGAGAGAGAGTATAGAACTCTCTCGCTCTCAGGCAGAAGCAAGGTGTCTGAGGGTGGTAATCAGCTGCAAGCATACAAGGCTGATATACCCCCTTGCTGTTTGGCAGTTCAACCTTGGGGATCTGCCAGTCGATCCTTGGGTTGACTGCTCTCAGCCACTGCATAGAGAACACAAGGTCAAAGGGTAGGTCAGGGAAGATGTAGAAGTTCAGACTATGTCTGACTTCTCCAGCACTGTCGAAGGTAACAAGGATGCCCCTAACCTTCTCCCTGATGGTCAGAACAGTGGAGTCCCCAATGCGGACCTGCAGCGGTTGCTGCAGCTGCACCACTTTCATGCCCAGATGCAGTTTTTGGACTGCACTGGGAGACATGAAGTTGCGAGTGGCTCCACAGTCTAGTAGCCCTTTGATCCTACGATGGTTGATCAGGGGCCGAAGCAGGATGAGATCAGACTTGTTCTGCTTTTGTTCTTTCAAATGAAAGAAAAAAGCAGCAAGAGCCTGACACTTAGACTGGTCCGGTTCCTGATCCGGGTCAGGATCCTCATAGGTAAAGGATGCTGCCCGCGCAGCTCCCACACTGGATGGGAAGGAAAAAGTCTCAACTGAAGCTGCTGCAGCTGCAGATGCAGTTGCAGCACTGGAGGGAACTGCTGTCTCCAGGTTCAGCTTCAGTTTTTTGACTGAGCTGGGGTTGGCATGTAGGGACAGTCCTTCAAGAAGTGTTGTCCCTCACACCTCAAGCAGACAACTCTCTCCTTCCTCTTCCTCCACACTCCCTCCTGGATCTTCAGATCATGCCATGGGAGAGTGTTGGGGTTCAGAGGGTCTGCTGGGAAGTGGACGTCACGTGGCAAATTAGGGCGCCGGGCAGGGGTTGAAGAGCGACGTCCTTGGCTCTTCCCCTTACTGCTGGAGGCTGTGCTGGAGGCAGATCCGGCCTTTTGGAAGGCCCCCAGCGCAGCCTGCAGCTGCTGGACCACTGCTGCAACATCTGGAACAGCAGCTGAAACAGTCCCAGTTGGCGGTGTACCAGGCTGGGAACCTGTGTCAGAGGCTGACCCAGACCCCGCATATGCAAAGGCCGCCTTTCCCTTTCTGCCACCGCGAGGGAAGGCGCCTCTCCTCCTGTCACTGGAGGGGGCCTGGACATGAAGCTTAGCTTCCATGTCCAGTGCTGCACGTCCAAATGATCTCCAGTCTTTGTGACCGGCGCTGTACAACGCAACGCAGAACTTTTCAGGCACAACCCTGCAGAAGTTAATCAACAGATCATCTGCAGATATCACCAAACCAGGGGTGGAAGTCAGCTGTTCAAATTCAGCAAACAGGGCCTGCAGACTGCCGCTGTAACGCTGCTGGCCCAGGCGTACTATCTTATCAGCAGCTTTGCGGACTCTTTCTTTGTCTGCACCTCCTGCTAAATTAACCCTACTCAGGGCTAAATTTAACAGTTGGTATCGGAGCGGAGCTTGGAATTGGAGCTCAGAGGGTTGAGTGCAACAGGGGCACCTTCTTCATTTGGCTCTAACTGGCGAGAAGATCCATGGTGGTTCTCCATCTCCAGTGACTATCCAGCAGGGAAGAAGGGATACAATCGGTGATTGCAGGAACATCAGTTGCGATTGATCAGGCACCCTGAGCCTGTTTGTGTGCCTGACAGGAAGTGGTGAGAATAGGGTCATTTCGCCATCCACCTTCCTGACCTCAGTTGATGACTGGGTCTAGGGTGGCAAAATTTACCCTAATCCAGTGATTACTGGGTGGCGGCCTCATTCCCAGTGTAGCGCTGAGGGAGGATGGATCGCAGGATCACCTCCTGCTAAATTAACCCTACTCAGGGCTAAATTTAGCACCAGCGGTACATACCCTGCAGTGGGGAGATATCTTCAGGAGAGTTTTCTCTCGCCACTGGGGCAGATTCAGTGTATCTGAGAGTTGGGGGTGAATCGCCTCATCATACTGGAGCAGATCAACAAGTTTCAGGGGATTCTGTACGTGGGAAGTTGTGGAAGACTGTCTGCAAGTACTGGCGAGACCAGGGTTTGGCAGCCATAGCCAAAGCTTCATCACCCACTGAGGATTGTACTTCAAGTGAGTTCGTTCCACATGAGTCCCTGAGTAGCGATTAGTATAGAATTAGTGAAAATAGGATTGATGGTCTGTCTGTCAGTACTGCAACAATCGAGAAATTGTCAGACTGCAGGACAACCATATCCATCTTCTTCCTCCCTACCCTGACTCATATCTCTTCATCTACTGACCTGTTCTGACTCCAAAGTGTTCTGGGACTGCTTTACAGTATTGCACTGCATCCTGTATGCTCATTCTGTGAATTCTGTACTGAAAAGACAGTGATACTGTGGATTTGAGTTTTGCGCTGAGCCTATTTATAGTCTAGGCTACCTAGGGTCAGTCACAACTCAAAATCTGACCGTCAGAATTCAAGTCTGTCAGTCTGAGGTGAATCGCAATTCTATTTTTAGCAACCTTGCTAAAGCGTTAGTCCAAAAACACTGTATTTGGGTCATTACAGTATATTCCTGAAATTCGCCATATCTGGGGTAATTTCTGTTGATGTCAACACTGGCGAAATTTGAGTCTGGGGTTGTCAGGGAGTAGTCTACTAAATCGCTACTACCTGCTGCTGTGTTTCAGTCAATTCTTGCCTACCCTTATCAATACTACTAATCTACTCTGCTTTCTGATGGGCTCTGGGATACTAGTGACCCCTGGAATGTTGTGAAACTGCAGATTGCAACTTCAGTAAAAGTTCAGTGTCAGGTATAGGAAATCGCTAGTGAATGGTTTTACTGGACACCCTGTCAACCTGATTACTGACCCCAGTGGTCCTGTTCCAACCCTAACTGCTTGTGCCCACTAACCCACATTGCTCTGTGAACTGACAGTGCAGCGAAATTTGAATGTCTGTGTGATCTGTAAATCGCTGCACCCCCTGCTGTTTCACTGTTATGAACTTGGTTGTCTGACACTTTAATTGCCACTCTCACTCAGAAGCACTCACACATGCCCATACATGCATGAGACAAAGGGGAGAAGGAGACAGGGTCCAACTGCACACAGATTAGAGATAAACAGCGGAATCGCAATTATGCACAGAAGGGGAGAATGCACTCAGTGTTTCTCTCTCCCTGACACACTCCCAACAACCAATCACAATTGACACTGCGAAGATCACAANTATGCACAGAAGGGGAGAATGCACTCAGTGTTTCTCTCTCCCTGACACACTCCCAACAACCAATCACAATTGACACTGCGAAGATCACAATTGGAAAGTAACCCAGACGAAGAGCCAACTCAACACAGTTAACCTCAATTATCGTTACAGAGTTCCACCCCGTGTCTCGCCACTCAGGAACCACACACTYCACTCACYACCACACTCTCAGAGTCTAGCGCTGGACAGAAATAGCCTCCCAGAGGCCAGCGCCATACACCCAGATGCAGATCATGAATAGCGAAGTAGCCTCCAGTGCCGATGAAGAAGACAGCTATGGCTGCSTGGCTGCTACCGCAGCAGCAGTACCCACATGTACTCTGTGAAGACCTCCCAGATAGWMCTGCCAACGCAGATATYCCCCCGGGGATAGATGCGCTGAGTACAGCCCCAGCTATGGCTGTCTCAGGTGGCGGGCTATGGCTGCTCCACTCACGGCTGATGTCTCCGGTGCCACTGTAGACATTCAGCGCTGCTCAACTTGGTTGGCCACCAACGCTGCATGCGAAAAATGAAAGCCAAAAGTCCCCCTATCAGTTTCCCTCCTAGACTTATAGATTCCTACACTAGCCTAAGCCGAAACTGGACTGACTGGACCTACCGGTACCGTTGCTGTTTCTCGCCCTCTCGGCCTCTACTGGACCCGGCTATAGGCTATAGGACCGTATACCAGTATAGGCCGCTTAGGGCCTGTCAGTCCTAGGGTAGCCCGGGCCTGCTATAGGCAGTTAGGGTAGTAGTAGGGATTCGGTTAGTTTAGGGCCTATAGTCCCTCAGAATTACGGGTCTGCCCCTCGCGAATTTCCTCACAGGCAAGTCACTCGGTTAGCCCTCAGCCAAACAAAATTGCGAATCTATCCCTACGGTTAGTGTACAGCCTCGCAGACAAACTTGGCAGCAGAAATCAGCAAGTCATTGCAAGTGGGTCAGCATGGACTGGGCGTGATTTTGTTCCCTGGTGCATGGGGTGTGTTCGCGTTCCCTTTCCCGAAGGATGTGAGTGGTTGCATCGGGATGGGATTGTGGCCAGCATTCTTAGCATTTCATCGCTGGTTCAACACGCATCTGAATTGCGTCCGGGACCAGATACACACTGCGCTGCGGGGAGTTGAGCACGGAACAAGAACCTCACCCGCTTTCACATTGCCGGAATCGAAAGCGGTGAGACCCATAGGCCAAGCACATACTCCTGAGTGGAACTAGAGCCCTTGGCCACCGCTTGGGACAAGCGGAGACTGGGGGGGGGAAGGGCACAAGAGCGGCAGAAGCAGGTGGACCAGAGGCAGATGAAGATGTGGAAACACGCGAGGCACCGATATGGAAAGACATTGTCCTGACAGGTCCGACCCGCATCCCCACAAAATAAACCGGCAGGCGAAAGACAAGAAGTGCGGTCCGGAATACAAACAGGAAAAAGCCCATGCGCAGACTGACCAGTCTACTCCGTTTCCCATTTGGCCCAAATCCCTATTTCCAATTGTTGAACAACATCTCTTTGAACAACATCTCACAAATAAAATCAATTAATAAGAAGAAAGAAGAACAAATGCTTCTAGAAAAAATCAAACGAGTGGAGGATGAATTTGGGAAGCATCCTATTTCAGATGTTTACTGGACGTCCGTAAGAGATCTATGCAACAACTAGAAGCCCTGGAGATCAGACAACAAGAACAGTGGAAGAACTGGCTGTCCCTCCATAATGTTGTATTCGGTGATCGTATGACCAAAGAGACGTCCAGGCGTCTCCTGCTGCAATCCACAAAAGCTCCTATGCTACAACTTGCACACCCCTTCACCGTAATTCCTCAAGTTTTAGACAAATTAGAAGAAATGTGCGAGTTTCGGCATATCTTAACCACGTGTAGGCCATTCAAAGGCTTCTTTCACGGACCAGCGGGAATTTTCAGACTTTTGGAAGTTTTCCAATGCTCGCTTATCAGCAGCAAGTAGACTAGATTTGGAAAGGCCATTAACCCTGGAAGAACTTCAGTTGGCGGCCAAACAAATGGCGACAGGGAAGTGCCCAGGGGACGATGGACTCCCCATCGAACTCTATTGGCTGCTTGGGATGCAATAGGCCCCTATTTCTTGAACATCTACAATAAGGTCCTAACTGGCGCGGATATGACAAAGGGAATGATGAGAGGGATACTTATGCTTATGTACAAGAAGGGAGACAAATCAGAGTCCGCAGTTGGAGACCGATCTCAGTACTCAATGTATCCTATAAGCTCCTTGCAAAGGCTCTTGCTATCAGGCTAGCCAGATACCTCCCTGCTTTGGTGGGGAAGATCAAGGCACCTTTGTCAAGCACAGATCAATCATGGAAAACATTTCTGCTATGATGCAAGCACTGAAGATCATAGTTGAAGAAAACAACAACATTGTGGTATTACTGCTAGATATGGAAAAAGCATACGACCGGGTGGGCTGGGCCTTTGTGATGACTACCCTTACCAACATGAACTTTGACTCAAATCTCTGCCGCTGGGTCTCAGTAATGTACTCGACGGCTACTGTTGCTGTGATGGTAAATGGAAAAATATCTCGGACCTTTTCTCTGACGCATTTTTTACGTCAGGGTTGTCCCTTGTCCCTCTCTTGTTTGTGCTTCATATGGAGATCGACCTGGATAATGTGAGATCCAACACATCCATTAAGGGGTTAACCCTCATAGATAACCGTCAATGGGAAGGGAGGTGCCCTACCGGATGACCAAACCTTGGCGTGCTTGAACTCACGAGAAAATTTGTTGGGAGTAAGGAAAGTATTGAATACCTATTGTGATCTATCGGCGGCTTCGATAAATTAGAACAAATTTGACTTTCTTTCGCCTGACTCCTACAACCTGCAAGTTAATTGGGGCTTGAAGACACTTTCGGCTGACTCATCTGACCGTTGTCGGCACCAATACCCTTACAAGGGTAATTGTGCGTACTTTTGCACCTCGCAGGAGGAGCACTCTTGATAAAATTTAAGGAAGTAGCGTGCTTTTCGCTCGACGGTGACTGACTTTGAAGTCAGGGACGGCGGGCTCATGCATAGCTTATTCAAAGAGTGTGTGGGCATGCACTTTGTGGGCACGCGTTAGTCAAATAGTGTGAACAGACGGACCGCTCGGCGGTCCAAGTTAAAAGTAAGCTAGGGGTTCGGATAGCGTAGCACGGGCCGCAGACTTCGAACGTACTGACAGAGTCGCCACCGGCGCGAAGTTAGACCGTCGAAGCTATGGCTAGAGGAAAACTTTCGACTGACTTGCAGAGGGGCGACATTTTGAGGCCGCACCATGTGAAGTGTGCAAGTACTACAATTGAATATAAAGGTATCAACGGTAGGAGCTGTAGCAAAATTTAGCTAGGTACGACGCGTGGATACGGCGCGAGCAAAAGTCGGAGTCTTTCCGACCAAAGACGATAAAAGCATGCTCTTTTCGATGAGTACTGCGGGCTATGAGAGCCTCGGCCCGTGACCGCGGCATGGCGGGGAAGTGCGCATGGTAAACTCAGCAATAACCGTCCTCCAAGCAGAGAACATGGCCATACGGGGCTTGGGCTCAAGGGGCAAACCAAGAGAAGGCGCTGGCGCACCTTTGCAGGCCCGGATAGGCTGTAACAGCCTGCAGTTACTCTTCATATGCAGAACTGGGCCTGCTGCAACCAGACTTGGGCTTAGCCCTAATGGTTACAGCATTGGACTTTCACCACGCAGATCCTGGGATCGAGGCCAGCATGCTGCAGCGATGGAGCGAGGAGTGCGTTTGGAGATAAACCGAGGGGTTGAGGGTCCCGCGGGACTATCCCCCTTGGTTTTGCGGGGAGTCCCGACGGCGGGCCCGATGGGCAGGACTGAGGGCCGAATCCCAGCAGTTCCCGTCCCCCAACTCATTTTTCTAGTTTTCTTTTAATTTTCATTAATTATTATTCCTATTTTTATTTTTTATTTTTTATTCGTCCCATTTTGGGACGTGACCCGGTACCGGTCCGTGGACCGACTGTGAGTGCCAAGAGCCTAGCTCAGTGGTGCATCCATGAACTGTTGAAATACAGACCTGAGTTCGAATCCAAATGATGGAACTTGATTGGTAAGTAAATATTTCTGAATTACCTGGGTCCGGTCGGTCTCACGACGCTGCCCCAAGG